CTTCGCGGTCTTCCAATCTCGGAGAGTTGGCTTGTGCGTTCTCCTTGTCGCCTTGTGCACGGCAAAGCAGATGTCTGGACGCGTGCATCTCGCTATCCATAGCAGACTACCCACCAGTGACTGAAAAGACTTCATGCTCGGGTCGCCCTTCGCTGCTCGTGCTGGTAAGTACGCAGCGTCGTCTTCGGCGTCCATGTTGCACTCGTCTCCGATAGGTGTGCGTACCCCGTTTGACGACTCCATACCGAAGTCTCTCAACAGCAAATCGATTGTCGGTTCTTGGTCCAGGACGTAGCCACTTGACTGTCAAATTAAATCCGTAGTCCAAGGAATTTTTTCACAATTCCCAGATCCTTGATGGATAGAGAGGCCATGGTTTTGAAAAACTCGTCGACAGCACTTTGTCTAGTGCCTGTGACCAACAGGTCGTCCACGTAAACACCAACCACCGTGCATATCTTGCCATTGTACTTGAAATACAAGCACATGTCCGTGGTACATTGCTGATACCCACTTTCTCGTAGCTCGGAGTCAAGTAATTTGCTCCATAGTCGTCCAGATTGTTTAAGTCCGTGCAGCGATTTCTTCAGCAACAATGCTAAATCGTTCGGGGTCTTCACATTCAGGTCCTTCATCTCTTTTTCCTTCACTGCCATTCCCTTCGGCACCTTCATTTAAATGTCCAGGTGCTCCTCCTTTTCAGCCTTGACGTACGCATTTGGTACATCACCATGACGAGATGGCACGTTCCAGCCTTTCGAGAGTACCAGGATCAGCTTGAACGTGCCCAGATCTATGACCGCTGCGAACGTGAGAGTATAGTCTACTCCGAACACTTGTTCGTTTCCGCAGACGACCAGGCGAGCCTTGTATCGCTCGATGTCCCCGTTTGCGTCGGTCTTCGTCTTGTAGACCCACTTGTTGTGCAGAACATGTGCACCCTTAGGCGGCACTTTAACTGTCCAAACATCGTTTGACTTTAAAGCATACAGCTCTTCGTTCATAGCGACTTGCCACTATTCACGGTGATCACTGTTGATGGCTTCGCCGTAGTGCTTCGGGTCTTGCACAATGACCGCATTTACGACGTCGTGCCGGTCAACAGGTTGTTCGGTTGAGGCTTCTTCAATCTCTCGCTTGCTCGTGGACCTCGTACGATGTTGATACCTCGTCCAAATCGACCGTCGTCCTTTGTGATTCCTTGTAAGTCGTTTCTTGACGTTTCGTTGTCGTATAGTGTCCGTCCGACAGTCCAAACGTGACTCCTCCTGACGGTCGGTTCCGTTCAGATCGGGTCCGAGTTCCGCGTCTCGAACACACTTTGGAGCTTCGATGTTCCGAACGTGTTGCGTCACTGCAACTACCTTGTCCTTGGGGATGTACACCTTGTATCCCTTCGTATCAGCACCCTTTCAAATGATGATGCCTGTTTTACCACGTTCTCCGAGTGGTTTATTCTTGGCGTCGACGTGCACCGTGAATGTCGATCCGAAGGCGACGATGTCGTTAAGCACAGGCACCTTGTTCGTAAGAATCTCCATTGGAGACGCTTCTCGTAGGTTGGCCTTGGTCCTACTTCGATTTAGTATGTATGACGCGTACTCGGCAGCGTCACCCCAGAATGTCTTCGGTAAGTTTGAAGCGAACAGCATGCTTCGAACCATATTCATGGTGGTTCGATGCATCCGCTCAGCCTTGCCATCACTGGATTGGTTTCGAGCCTCGCTCACTTGAAGGGACACACCAGTTGTCGAGCAAAATCCATCCAGGGTCTTGTAATCACCTCCCCCGTCCGTGCGCAGTACGTGAATCTTGCAGTTGAACTCGCGCTCGAAGCTCACCAAGAAGTGCTTGAACTTGAGAGCGGCAGCATCCTTGGTTTTGGCCAAAAAAAATGCGACAATAATTTGATCTGTGGTCGATGAAGTTGACCAAATAGCGATCCCCCAAGCGATCACGCGGGGGATCGGGCCTTTGAGGTCGGAACATATCACTCCTCCTATCACGTCGATAGGGGAGTTGGCTCCCGTATCCTTCCTTGACTGTGTCACTTTGCTCTGTTTTCCTTGAGCACAAGCCATGCACTTCGCACGTTTCGTATCCGTCAGCCTTATGCCCTAACCTGGGTCTTTGGCCACCTTGACAAAAGTTTCAATTCATAGGTGCCCCAGTCGGCGATGAAATTGCATCAAGGTACCACACTGAACATTCGAGTCGGATTCATATTCAGGTGTATTGAGAACAGCCATTATCCCCTCTTGTGGCGTGTCAATAATGCCCATCCTGTGGTGTCGCACTGCAATGATCAGTACGTTGTTACACCGCTCCACATCCATGACTGGGACACCACCAATTCCTGAGGTCAACACACGCTTCCCTCCCCGGTACTCCAGTACGCAACCCTTAGCTTCGAGCTTTCCATTGGAGAGTATGTTCCTCTCTAGGTTTTCCGCGTATTGCACATCGAGGAGCTTCACCGAATTCACCACTCCGAGTGCGAGGACTTTAATCTCAACAGTGCCTTGATGGGTGATCCGCAGCACACTTCCATCGGAGGCTGCGGTCAGACATTCCTTTTGGCAAGGAGTAGGGTTGATGAGGAGGCTGAGATCATTAACCAAATGACGGCTAGATCCAGTGTCGAGTATCCACTGACTCTCATGTATACCCGTGCTGCCGTCAATTGTGAATACGAAGTTCGCTCTCGGGTCCTTTTTCTTCCTTCGCTGAGGACACATTGACCTAATATGTCCTACTTCTCCGCACAGGTAACATGACCGATTGTCGCTTCGCTCTTGGCTCTTGTGTTTGATCTTCGCCTTCGCATCTTATGGAACTTCCACGACGTTGACGACGTCCCGTCAGAGGTTCTTGGCGTGCGTGTCCACCTCAGCAGACTGCGCAAATTGCGCCAGTTCCTCAGCTTGGCGCAGATGGTCCACTCGATGAATGTTTAACCTGGACAACATTGTCGTGCGCATCTGCGGATCGGCATAGTGTAAAATGTTGTCCAGCACTAAGCTGTCTGCACCGCCGCAGGCATCGCTGACAGCTGTGAGGTACAAAAAATGGTCTGTCCAGCTTCTGTGCGATGCCTTCGGTGCCGTGAAGAGCTTCATGCTTTGCGCCGGCGATATCTTGGTGCTAAAGGTCTGCAACAATCCTTGCATTGCATGCTCCAAGGTTTGGCTTTCGCGCCACCAAGTCTCGACCTGCCGACGGTAGTACGTCTGGGCCTTGCCTGCCAGGTGTTGTCCAAGGACATCAACCTTGATGTCCTCCGGCCATCCAAAGCCGCACGCGCGCTCCGCGAAACCGATTTGGCGGACAAATTCTTTGCCCCATTCAAGGAACCCGCTACCCAGACCATGGTAGAGTTCCTTGCCGTCAAAAGGTTGAATAGCGAGTTTCCGATGACGCGCGTCCGGCATCCCTGCAGCTTGCTGCCCAGGGTGTGCATACATACCGTTCGGCATACCCACACCAGGGTGATAGCCCGCAGGCATCTCTTGCCTAGGTTGTGCTGGTCCTGGTGTCGGACCCATGTTGACGTCCGCCACGACCGGTTTCCTGATCGTTCGTCACCATATCCTTGCATTTGATGTCTTGCCTTGAAATATGTCGCTGGCGACACATACGGGGACCTTTTGGGAGGAGGGGTGTGCTCCAAAGCCTGGAGGGTCATTCCCGCTCCTACTCCCAGGGCCGAGCCAAAAACTGACTCTGGTGACCCCTGCCGGTCCTTGCCACCTTGCTTGTTTTGGGAGACCTCCATCCGATTCATCCGTTCATAGGTCCCCGAGCATGGCTAGCACTTGGTCCATCGCCCCTCTGGGCGCTGCCGACTTTTCTTCCAGGTGGCCGTCGGTAGCCGTGTTGGAAACACCAACGATCACAGCAGGTGCAGCTTGATCGGCCGCACCCGCAGCGCGCTTAGTTGGGCTCATAACCTGTTGGAGCGTAGTAGTGCACTTGGTGCAAAGTAGGTGGAAGTAAAAGTGAAATATATTGAGTGTTTAGCATGACCTTCCTCAACACTACGATATGTATGACCAGACAAAACGAAACTGCAACTTGACCATAACAAGTCACATATGACGTCCGTCTCTCGTAGTCCCATAAGTCAACCTGTCACATGGCGACCGTCTCTCGTGGTCCCATATGTCACCCTGTCACATGGCGACCAGCCAATCAGGTGACACCGTACCATGGTATAGTACTTGAGCTCAGAAACCTGTCAAATACGATAGTTTCTAACATCATCTTCAACCTTCTCTTCTCCCTCTCCTACATCTTCGTTGTCATCAAGTCCCTCGTCATCGATATCGCCTGCTGGGGCATTAGCGCTGGCAGTACGTGCAAAAGCAGCGATAATCGGTGATGGAGAGCTCAACGCCTCGACACTGCTTGAAACCACCATCCAAGCACGTACACGGTCGAAATTAGACTGAGAATGACGTCATTTTACTGGACAGTCTATTAATTACGAATTTTGTCAAGTCCGTGCGGAGTCCGCACTCTTTTTCAGCCTCCCAACTCGCAACTTTCTCGGTACATACATTAATGTGGACCGCACTGATTCTGAACCCACGCTACTTACGGTCATCGGTGCAGCTTTTTTTTTCAAATCAATTACATTTATTCGATAGTGTCCAAATACGACAGCAAATCCGTGCGACACTCGGCTTCTAATCCAGACAATACGCGTTCTATCCCATAACATTCGGAGCTCGCACCTGTGAAAACGCATCTCAACATGCGGAGTACGACCCACACAAAGTCGCCCACGCTCCCACCCCCAACGCCGTTCTGACCCGACGACGACCAGCTGAACGACACGTTTGCCGGCGCTTACTGGGCCTCTGAACCCACGCGCCGCTCGCGGATCCACGTCTTTGGTGCCGCTGCACCTTTTGCCTTCTCGTTGCACTTGATCGCTCCCATCTGATCCCAACTTCTCGAGCTGCTACACAACAAGAGCCTCCGACTACGCTGGAAACATGACGTGCTGTTATTGTTCAGTTGTCGCGTCATGGCTTCGATGTTTGGTGCTGTGTGGAGGTGGGCGACCGAGCAACAACACGCGCTGGAGCAGGTTTCGAGCTCACGACTTGTTTTTCGCTCTGCTCGTCGTTGCTGCTGTTGTGACTGACGTCGCTGCTCAAGACTCACTTGGCGTTCCGACGCAACGGACCTCGGAGAACTCGTCCATTGCTGGGTCACAGCTACTGACGTGGTGGGGCGAACGCGGCGACGTGGACCATGCGTTGGCTCAACTGGGTGGCGTTCAATCGTGCCCCGAAGACGTGAATGTCCGTGTGGATGCTGAGGTCGTCGACGAGAAGATGCTGAGCTTTTGCTCTCAGGAGACCGCCGGGTACGACATCATGGGACTATTGCAGCCTTCAGAAACGCTATTGGCGCCGATAATGGAGCAGACATCGGACGTGTGTCGGTCCGAGGCATGCACGGCGTGGCTGAGTCAAGCAGCAAATTCCTCGTGGTTGCCTGAATGCAGCTATCGTCGGTCGCAAGCGAGTCTTCGATCGCTGGCAGAAACGCTGCTTCGTGTTTGTAAAGACCTGATGAATGCGGACATGGACAACGTCGTTGTGCCTCCGACTGCGAGCTCGTTTCAACAACTGTACAAGCTGAACGTGCTTGCTAATATGGTGACTACGAAGAAGGGGGTCCGGGACGAAGGGAGCTCGCCAGTTTTGCAGATTACGAGGCAGATGGCGGCACTAGACGAATCCCGGGTAGTCGGTTCAGACGTCGTTTTACTGTCAGGGGCCGCTGGAGAGCGTCCGATGAGCGTCAGCATTCTTGGCAATGCGAATCGCACTGGCACTTTGGCAAGGTCTCGCAGTGCTAGTGGCTTTGATGCGGCTCGCAACTCTTCCAATTTCGCGATTCCCAACGGCTCAAGTGACTGGAACAGTTTGCGAAACACGTCGTTCGGTGTTGCATCCAGCTGGAACGATTCCGCCGATTTCACGAGCAGCGCCGCCGGTCCACACGCGTCGTCGACCACCACGACCACGGACCTCAGGCTGTCATACGCTTGCGTCGTTGGCGCATGGGTCCTATTTAATGGCAGCTACTATTTTCTCATGCGAAGAAAATGAACTCAGCAACAGCGCTGCAACGTCGTTCATTGTCGTGCATCGTGTGATGCTAGTGTACGCTACAAGCAGTGCTGCGAAAGTGGAGTTACACCTCGCGTACCCAAGACGTATGCAGGCAGTACGTTCATGTAAAATAATTAAATGGTAACTTGATTTCTTTGCGATCTCAATCGCTTCTGATCGAGTTGTATCGTATACGCATGCACAACTACGACATACAACCTTCTTCTATGACCGAAGGCGATGACGTCGTCCGCGTATGGATTGGAGCCGCAGCAGTGTTGACCGCCACCGCGCCTGTGGATCGCCCTGATTTAGCAAACTGTCGCGCTGAGCGTGATGACGCACACGATGGACTCTGTGAAGGTGCTGTCTCAAGCGTTCGTCTTCGAAACGCTCCGTGTGACTGTCCTGAAACGAGTCGAGGTCGCACTGCTGCTGTGGTCGTAGCACGTATTCGAGTGGCCTCACTATACGTGATGTTGCCTTCCTCGTTCCCCATGTCTCGATTCTTGTACTCATCGGGAAGGTAGATATCCCGGCACATTCTGCACTACAAAGTGTCACAACAACTTGTCAATGCCATACTTCAAAGCCGCCAAACCACATCGATCAACTCACCTGCATTGATGGCGGGCGATTGACAAAACTACATGACGGACATGACCACGGCTCGCTTGGTAATAACAGCAAGTTCGGGCCCAGTTGTAGCGCATCAAAATCCCTGGCGATGGGGTAGCGCGAGGTAGGCGATGGACACGTCGAGAGCAACGATGTCCGACACGTTGTATCTTCCCATGGCACACGCGAGCCACCTCCAATTGCCCCGTCCACGAACACACTCGATGGCATGGTTGCTGCCGGGTCAACCTGCAATGCTGTTTGCAAGAAAATGGCAGCTGAATCCAGTAAAAATTGCGGCCGTGAACTGTTGTGGTCGCCATCCACCTTCACGAGGTTCTTATCTCCGCCGTAGGCCGCAAAGATCTGGTCACTGTGGTGCGGCGTGATAAATGAGTCGTGCTCTGCAGCCACAAACAACGCCGGCACGAACGAAACCGGCGCGTGATCGATCGGCGCAAGGTGCTGCAAGTCAAAATGCGCCCGCTTCTTCACCGACAATCGAATAAACTTGAGCACGATTTTCACGAGAAACCCCGGCAGCGTCAGTCCTTCTTGGCGTCCCCGTTCAACGACCTCCTCCACGAGCTGTTCGAGGCTCGCAAACGCGCTATCCACGACAATGCCTGCCATCGACGGGTCCCGATCCGCATGCAATAGCGCTGTCGCTGCTCCCATGCTTCGGCCCCATAGTGCCACTGGTCCAATGTTCCGCTCGGTCCGTAGGTGCGTCACGACTGCCCTCAAGTCGTCGCGTTCGTAATACCCCAAAGAAATGTACTCGCCGTCCGAGTGGCCGCACCCGGCGGTATCGAACGCAGCGACCGTGAGACCAGCAGCTAAGCACGTGCGCAGGACGCCCAATGCCTCCAATCGACACGACGAGTTGCCGTGCAAGTACACGACACACGGCACCACTGGCTGCCCGCCTGTCGCGCTCTTGATGCGGCCGCGCTCGGCCACTGGCGTTGCTGGTCGCCAGTGCGAACACACGAGCGTCTGCCTGCGGTCGTTCACGACTGGAAAATCCTCTCGCACAAACGCCCGTCCAGCAAACTGAAACTCAGTGGGCCCGAGGTCGGCCTCCGCGTAGCTCGTGCGAGGCGGTCGAATGATCAAGTGCACGAGCTCCGTGTACCCATGTTTGAGCAAGTACCAGTAGCTGAGCTGCGACGACGTCTCTTCCAGCGCCTCTTGCCCTCGTTCGAGGCCCCCGCGCTCCCGCGGCATCGCATTGCCATTGTCACTGCCACTGCTGCTGTTGCAGCTCGAGCTGCGCGAGAGACCTGGAGACAGTCGCTTCCGACGTCTCGTGGAGCCATTTGCTGCGACTGCTGCAACTGCTGTCGTTTGGTCGTCCGTGGGGACGAACGCTGAGCGTCTCGCGTGGCAGGCGAACGCGCTATCGGTCGTGTCGGGTGTTGGCCCTTTGCTCGCGGGGGGCGAGAGAGGCCGTCGCTTGGACCGCACGCCTTTGCTCGTCGGGCCCGAAGACGTCGGGAGAGCTCCTCGGGACTCGGCGTTCCCCATGTCGAACACGACACGAGACGTTGGCCGCTGTGGAGAGAGAGAGAGAGAGAGAGAGAGAGAGAGAGAGCAGTTGTACCAGCGACCGAGCGGGCGGGTGAGTTCTGGTCGAGGAAACGAGTGCGGGGACCTCAAGTGGACAAGTGGATGAAGGAAGCGGCGACAAGAGGAAGCAACGAGCAGATGCTTCGCGGCAGTCGGTGGCGTCAAGAACAACAACAACAACACCAACAACAGCAACGACGACGACGAGAGAGAGGGAGAGAGGAGAGAAGAGGAGGAGACGGTGGTGGGCGTTGGAGAGACGGCACCAGCTGCTCTTGCGGCTGGTGCGGCTGAAGGGAACAGAGCCGCGGCCAGTCGTGAACTGTGGTCGTGACAACTCGTCGGCGGTTGGTCGCCTGCTGGTTGCTGCGCCGCGTCGTCGAGGGGGCGAGCGAGCGAGTGCGTGCAATCAATCGCTCGCTCGGGACGGCTTTCAGCGAATCAGATGCGTAGACGAAGGCACTTGACGCCGGCCGTGCACTGACTTGACCTCGACTGACCCACGCGAAAGGGATACGGCGGCTACTACTCTATCCACCTGCATCTCCTCCCCCCCCCCCCCCTCTCTCTCTCTCTCTCTCTCTCGCTCTCTTTCGCTCTCTCGCTCTCTTTCGCCTGTAGTTTGAATAAGAGTCGACGTCGCGCGACTGGGCGATGGATCGCGTTCTTATCGGCGCCATTAACTGATGCTGCACACGAGTGTTGACGGCCGGTAGACGACTACTTGTGCCGACTACTTCCTATATCGGATGTTCTCGCGAGTGTGCACGATGCGCGGCACTGTGTACTTGTCGTCTGACGGTTTTTTGGCTGTGTCCGGACGGTTTTTTGCTTGTCTTCCGTCACGCTGTCCGACTTGGGCGGTGCCAATACATTAAATGAGTGTTTTACTCATCCGACGGCCGACTTGCCTGCAACTGCGTTACTTCAATCAGCAACTCAAGGCGGGCGTTTTCTCGTGGACAATCGATCCACCGCCTTCCACTCGAGTCACACTCGAGTCACACGCGAGGTCGCTGGTCTTGGACTGCCGGTCCTCTTTTCTGCACAAGCTGGTGGTTAAACCACTCCGGTCAAATCCGAACAGGCAAGTGAATGCCGAGGTAATTACGCGGTAAAAAGAGGTCGCTTTTTACATCTCCTCAGTCCTCGAGACCAACAACCACTGGCTGGTGGACGCTGCGGCTTTTCACTGGACTGGTAATTTCTGAAATCGGACTAGACAACAGGTGGGCGCGAGTGCGATGTTTGTATCTATAGGTCGAGGAGCCTCGGGCGTGTTTATGATGCTAACCAGCGGTCATGTGCACTGTGTAGACCTCAGCAACTATGGTAAACGTGCCAAAGGAACGCCGCACATTCTGCAAGGACAAGAAGTGCCAGAAGCACACGGTGCACAAGATAACGCAATACAAGGCCGGCAAGGCATCGAAGTACGCCCAGGGCGCACGTCGTTATAATGCCAAGCAGAAGGGATTTGGTGGTCAAACCAAGCCTGTCTTCCACAAGAAGGCCAAGACCACAAAGAAGATCACTCTGCGTATGGAGTGCAAGGAGTGCAAGACCAAAAAGCAGCTGCCCATGAAGCGCACCAAGCACTTTGAGCTTGGTGAGAAGAAGAAGTCGGCTGGCCACCAGTACTAACTGCTGTTGTGATGGTGGATCTTCTCGCGGCGCTTTGTAGATGTTGGTGGTAGCGCATACCTTTCACGTCCAGCTCGTAGATGGAACATCTCCATGCTGGCCAATGATGAGAGGCTGTTGACGACTGTATCAGCACATACGAAGATCCGAGAAGAAATTGTGGGGACATGGATTGGATGGGGTCGGATTGTGGCAGACGATGTGCGCTAGCGGACATAGAACTGCTTACAAGACTCGAGTTTGATAGTGCTCTAAATCAAAGCCATGGTCGTGTTTTAGTCCTGAAAACAGTCTAGTCCGGCGTTGCCGTTGTCTCGGTTTTGTCGTGTCTTGTTACGAGTGAGTATACGCAGGATGCGCGAAAGGGGCGCGACCGCGACGTTTAGCGAGTAGCTGATGACGATGCCGAGCTCAGAAGTTGTTTGCTGCCAATGTACTGGCTCGAATAATTCATTACAGAACTGACTCTGTCCTAGTCGTTGGACGAGCTGTACTTTACTTACGTCGCAGTCCTCACAAAAGATTCAAAGGCGCAATATACTCGCATCCCGAACTACAACAGTTGTTTATCTATCGCGAGCAAGCAAGTGCCATTCAGTTCTTCTTAGCGACTTCGACGCTGGTCGGACATAAACTGCAACACCGCCAAGCGTGGTTCTAGCTTTGAACGCAATACCCTTTCATACCTGGGTCATAGGCTTTATGTCGATATCGTCCTCATGTCGCACGCACACTCATAGCTCTACTCGTCACGCCATTGCATTTGCGGCTAGGTAGACACCGTGCCACATGATGACAGGCAAATGTCGGTGAGAATTTGATTTCACTAGCAACAATAACGCACAAAGTACCACTTGCCGCCGTTTAGCTTTGCGATATGCTTATTTCTTGTAGATACTGAGCTCGATACCATGCACAGGTCGATTTGCGAACTGTCTGTTCTTCACGGAAGCAATCGCTGGATCGGTCATTCTTCACTAAGGGGAGGATAGCAATACAATTGATAAAGCTCGATGACGCTTTCAGGGAAAGAGGGTGGTTTGGCGTCGTTTCGGAGAACTCGACTTCTCATCACATGGTTGACCACACGATAACTGTAAGGACGATGATCCTTTCAGTCAGTGCTTTAACATTGAGTGCACTATCTGAATAGTGCTAGACTTTTATAACAAATGACAAAAGCGTGTGAAAAAGCTTAAGTGGTGTATTTAGCCGTGCGGCACAACGGACAGTTTATGCCGCGAGTTCCTTCAGATCTACCGGGGTGGTCCGGGAGCACAGTGAGCCTACATTCCTTGGAGGACCAGCACCCTTCATTCACTATGGAATTTTCAGCCAGTACGGCCTTCAGCCCACCCAACAGTTACATGCCTCACGGTGTGGATTGCTAGGGCGACCGCCTATTGAGTTGTTGCTATACTAACAGTGTTGCGGACGCCTGTAAAGCTTGCGAGTTTGGTCATTGTGTTTCTTTGGCCAAGCAAAAATTAAGGCGTAATCTTTCATATCCCTTTCAAGCAGCTACAAGCAAATTTGCTTCGTATATCCAAACGTGCCTGGCAATGCCGCGGACAAGACGGTGTGTACAATCAACGGACGATAGGGTTTGCGTGTATGTATATAGGAAGCTGTAGTAGTGAGCTTCATGCGTGCTGTCTGCCATTATTGTAGACAAACGTGATTATGCAAATACTCGTGCGTACAATTGATCAGAGGTCTACTAGTCAGTAGTGCACAATCCCGCTTGTCTTTTTCGAATGGCGGCGGTCTCAGAGCCGTCCTTGCATCAAGTTTATCACATTGACATCATCCTGGGGTTGTAGAAATGAAAAAAAACACCCCTCCCCCGTGACATTGCTGACATGGCTTGTTCTTGTTCAAACGCACTTCAAAAAATCGCAACAACTTTCTCTTTTTTGTAGTACCTTGCGCATAGCCTTCGTTTTCGCAAATATGTTATTCTGATCCGTATATATTGTATATCCAAATGCCGGTGGGTCACGTCCTTTTTCAAACATAATTGCTAATTTAAGGGTTCCAGTGTGTCCTTCTGTCCTGTCATCATGTGGCTCAACATTTGTTCGACAACTGCCAATTGCTACGTCTTAAAACTGGTCGAGGATAGAGTGTTTTTTATCGGCTGGCAAGTATATCGTAAATAAAACGGTCATACTTGTCGAAGCTTGATGGATGTGCGCCACACCTTCGTCTCGTAAATCATACCCATTTGTTTCTTTCGTGAGCAAGTAGTCAGCATTGTCCAGATAGTTTATCATAAGCAATACATTCGAAGTTCGTTTGCGATTTCCTCCGTAGAGATCACATCGAAAACGGCCAAAAGTGTCAGCGGTAAAGTGCTTGACAAACTTCCGTACCGAGACATACGACACGTGTAACGGGGCACACCCCTTGCGTGAACTTAATGCAAGGGTGACGTGTGCCCGGCAAGCGTACACAGGGCAACCGAGGAAGCGGTAGGTAAAACAGAACCCGAAAGCTCTGTCTTGAGGTAAAAGTAGAACTGTTTATTTGATGAGAAATTACATAGAATAGGACAATTTTTGTTATCCACAGGATAGGGCTCTTTTTTTCACCAGCTATAAGAGGAATACAAGACGGCGAATGAACCAAGCGCGCGCAGCCTTTCTGCGTAACGAAGCGATTCGGCGATAGCTCTTCAAACACAAGCTGGTGTTCCTCTTGCTGCACTTGAAGCTTGAAAACGTACCGCTGCTCCGCTCAATAAAGTTTCGACCACCAGGTACGTCTCTCATTGTTCAACTGAAAACGAGGAGCTGTTTGAGGAAATTTAGCCCTTATCAAAGATCGACTGACGGAAATTTACGGTAACCTATTTATGCGTGACCAGGGTGGCACGTTTTTGTTTCGTATCTTACTAGAGGTCTCGAACTACAAGAAAGATGGATGACACTGGAAGAAGCGCAAAGATAAGAGTGGGCGGGAGCGGCGATGGTTCTTGAGTGGTCCTGCCGCGTGCTTGGTGACTATTATATCATGCTGACGTCCGACCTGATGTGTCAAAATTGCAGGTTCGTGAGGACCGAGAAAATCTGGTGATAAACCGAGGGGTCATCATCTTGGGAAGTTATGTGCATTCTGCAGAGATTTCTGTAAGTTGGTGTTTTTTCTTGCAGAAAGAAGTAGAGGGTTTTCCTGGACGACTTTTATGAGATACTGTTATGCTGTTTCGAATGAGTTGCTTGTAGACGTTTTATCGGAGGATGTATTACATCAGGGTCCAACCAAGAACATTGTCCTTGTTCACTACTTTGACGAGACGAAATTAGGATAGG